CTCTCCTCTCTCTCTCTCTCTCTCTCTCTCTCTCTCTCTCTCTCTCTCTCTCTCTCTCTCTCTCTCTCTCTCTCTCTCTCTCTCTCGCTCTCTCTCTCTCTCCTCTCTCTCTCTCTCTTCTCTCTCTCTTCTCTCTCTCTCTCTCTCTCTCTCTCTCCTCTCTCTCTCTCTCTCTCTCTCTCTCTCTCTCTCTCTCTCTCTCTCTTCTCTCTCTCTCTCTCTCTCTCTCTCTCTCTCCTCTCTCTCTCTCTCTCTCTCTCCTCTCTCTCTCTCTCTCTCTCTCTCTCTCTCTCTTCTCTCTCTCTCTCTTCTCTCTCTCTCTCTCTCTCTCTCTCTCTCTCTCTCTCTCTCTCTCTCTCTCTCTCTTCTCTTCTCTCCTCTCTCTCTCTCTCTCTCTCTCTCTCTCTCTCTCTCTCTCTCTCTCTCTCTCTCTCTCTCTCTCTCTCTCTCTCTCTCTCTCTCTCTCTCTCTCTCTCTCTCTCTCTCTCTCTCTCTCTCTCTCTCTCTCTCTCTCTCTCTCTCTCTCTCTCTCTCTCTCTCTCTCTCTCTCTCTCTCTCTCTCTCTCTCTCTCTCTCTCTCTCTCTCTCTCTCTCTCTCTCTCTCTCTCTCTCTCTCTCTCTCTCTCTCTCTCTCTCTCTCTCTCTCTCTCTCTCTCTCTCTCTCTCTCTCTCTCTCTCTCTCTCTCTCTCTCTCTCTCTCTCTCTCTCTATTCAGCTCACCTTGCACTGTTTGGGGTGATACCTGCCGGTACGGTCACAGTTGGGTTTCTCGGCGCCCAGCAGGGGCTCGCTCCTTTCTTCATGCTGCCGCAGCTCATCCCAGCAGGGCGTGTTGCTACCGAGCGGTGGTCGCTCATTCTGTGGAAGCACAGCGCACAATGGGTCAACTGCGGCATCCGGCAAAAGCTGAGTTACAAAACCTTAAAAAGAGCACGTCATCGCCGATTATCGTTACGTGTAAGCCTGACAATGTTTCACAAAATATCAGAACCCAGTTACGAGACGTAATCACGTTTATTGGCCCGCAATGTCGTCCACTGCTACCGTCGATGATAGCCAGAGGCAAAGCTCATGTCTCCCGTCCCCATAGATCAGCGCTTTATACGAACCTGGCGGTGACCGTGGGCCGAGCAGTCGAGCGTGCTGAACCGGTGAATCGGCACCTCTACCGAGCCGCGGTGTTTCTCGCCGGTGACCGTGTCGGCGCAGTGGCACACGGAGCCCACACACTGGCGCGGGTCGTAGTCGCCGTGCTCGTCACAGCTGAGGATGACCCCCACCAGACCACTCTCGGAGATCTCGTGCACGCGACGCGCGCAGCCTGCGGGGAGGGCAGGTCAGTGGCCGGTCACAGTGGGTTGGTGACTTAAAAGCACAGATCAGATCAGCAATGATAACGGAAATAGGTATATAAACCATGCCAGGCAGAGTTGGCCTACGCTACGTTATTTTGAAGTTTTCGGTAACCCGTAGCTGTCAGTACCGTTTCGTAGCGTAATTGGGATGTTTCGGTAGCGTAGTACGGAAAATAATAGAATAACGTAGGAACTACGAAATGGATTCCGTAGCAATTACAGGTCAGCTGTATTTGTATAAGGTACATAATTTTTTTCAGTTTACTCATATCGTCACCAGACCTCCGGCCGTTTACACGGATGTGAGACGCCTGCTATATGAATACCACTAAGTCTTTCTTCCGGCCGGACCCACACCGAGGATTTCCCACTGGGGAGTCCCATGGAATTCCCTGTCGGAAGTCCAGCGCATCTAGCGAGTAGCGCGTAGGCACCGCCGCACCGACGATGCTGCAAAGCCGGCGATCAATTGTGCGCAATATTTGACTTACTAGAGACTAACCGTTTCCACTGGGTAGTGGATGATGACATATTGCATAACGTAGTACGATAAATAATTTGCTGCGTTAATTAACAAATACCGTAATTCAGTAACGTAGCAATATATAACGTATCGTAATTCGGTATCGTAGTTTTGGCCAAAAAAGCAAACGTAGCGTAACGTAGTGCGTAACGTAGCGTAGCGCAGGCCAACTCTGATGCCAGGTCACTGCACTGGTCAGGTCACTTATCGCCTTCAGTGGGAGCTGATGGCAACGTATCACGTTCTTTTATAACGCTGATTAAACGCATGAGAAATAGACGGTTCCGTTAGATATTTCAATTACAGACTCTACCGACCGTTCTGTCCTTTACTCACCGCAATAGAGCGGCCTCTCGCGGGGCGCCATCTCATACTGAGTGAGCCGCTCGCCGTCCGGTTTGACGCAGTAACACTTGGAGCCGCGGCACTGGGTGGGTTTGTACCGACCGAGCCGGTCACAGTCGGGCCGCGAGGCGCCCAGCAGACCTCCGCCGGCGCTGCGCTGTTCGTGGGCGCGCAGCTCGTCCCAGCAGCGCGTCTCACCGTCCAGCTGGGGGTGCAGGACAGCGGGTGATACAGGGGCACAGAACAGCGAGTGTACGGCGGCAGGACCAGCGAACGTCACCCCGAACAGCCATGAGAACGGGACAACGGGTGCTACCGTCTAAATGAGTTAACGATTTGTGAGAGATGGGCGGTAACGCTTCTGTTATAGTAGATTGAAGCCGTTTAAATATTTGTACGCATTTGTTTAGCCCGTATATCGCCACGCGCTACATTTCCGTTACCTGCGGCGGACCGTACTGCCCGGTGGAGCCGTGGTCCGTCCCCTCGTCTCCGCAGCGGAGCTGGCCGATCTGACTGACGTGCACCGATCCGAGCTCGTCGCGCCTCTGGCCGGTCAGCGGGTCCACGCAGTGACACTGGGAGCCGACACACTGGCGGGGCGCAAAGTTACCGTGCCGGTCACAGGTCACTGACTGGCCGCCGTGCCGGCCCGCCTGCAGCGTCTTCTGACGGGCGCACGCTGAAACACAGAGACGGGCAAAGAACATTTAACGGGTCGGATACATCGAGTAGCATCGATTAGGGATTGTAGAACGGAGTTGCTAAAGTCCTAGTTACTAATGGGTACGTCATTACCATTAGCATGATAAACTGTCGATCATTGCATTTTTTCAGAGGGCACCGGATCAACTAGATTAACATATGCCATATCATGTGCCACCACTAAACTACCATCGCGCTAGGATGTTATTATTGACGTACCGCAGGAGACGAGGTGCGCCTCGTGTCTGCCGACGGCCTCGAACTGTTTCATCTGCTCTCCCAGAGTATCAACACAGAAGCAGACGGAGCCGACACACTGCTGCGGCCGGAACTGTCCGTCGGCGTCACAGTCGTGGTACCGCTGTCCGGGGACGGTCGGTCCCTGGCGACTGCGGGCGTCCAGACACGGCGTGTCCGACTGGTACTGCTGGACGGAGGGGGCGGCCAGCAGCAGCAGGCCGCAGAGCGGCGCACACACCCACCAGACGGCCATGCCGCTCCTGCTAATAAACGGCAGGAATTAGGTCACAACTTTAGTGTCAGTTATAGCTTCATTTGACGATCGACTTCTATTTCAAATATTGCATCCTTATTGTTTAGATAGTCGAAAGTCTAAAAAAGATAATGTCACTTATTCGTTGTCTTTTGCCGCCTGTTGTTGGCCTCAGCACAGACTAATGGATAAATATAAATAATGAATGCGGAAAATGAATACGTTATACTAATTTATCAATTAATTTGTTTGTTATTAATTCATCATCTAATTACGAGCGAGCGAGCGCAGCGAGCGAAGCGAAGTCTTTTCAATATAACGGAAAAAATCTCAGTATGAGCGGCCCGGCCCGGCCTGCAGCCTGTAACGCTTTTGAGAAGCTCAGCAACCGCTGGACCGAATGGCCTGCGGTCTTTTTTGCTGGGTAGCCCCATCCCTTCTACTCCGTAATTGACTACTTTTGATACATCTCAGTGACCGCCGTGGCACGTGCCACGTGAAAAGTCAAGGGTGTTCAAGCAGTTTTGCAAAAGTAATGATTTTGGAGGCCCATGTCTCAGCAGCGGCTTGAGCGATTGTCTTGCGGTCATTTTTATAGAGTAGCTGCATCCCTTCTACCAAAGGTCGGATACTCTTCATCTATGTGAGTGACCCCCACTGCACGTGCAAAATACAACAATAAGAGGTGCCAACTGCCAAATTTGTTCCCATTTCAGTAACTCGGTAATTACTGCGGCGATTTCGCTGAAACTTGGTATACAGGTAGGCTCCCACCAGGCAATGCATTCCCATGTGTTGCGGTTAGGGTGCTACTGCACGTGCGCACGTGCAGGGGGCGTTTCCAGATCTCGAGAACGGCTGGGACGATTGCGCTCAAATTTGGTACACGGTTGGGGACCGGTTAGTAGGGTGCCGTGCAAAAGTCATTTTGGACCCCGTTTGCACGTGCGCACGTGCAGAATGCCGCTTCCAGATCTCAGGAACGGCTGGGCCGATTGCGTCCAAATTTGGTACACCGCTAGCGACCGGTTAGAAGGGTGCTTTGCACAAGCCCGTTGGAAGTACCCTCTCGCCCTTCTGCACGTGCAGGGCTCACTATCTCGCTCGCTCGTTCTTCGCCCAAAAGGCGTTTTACTGGTAGGTAAGAAAATAAGTCATGATACATTGATTACTAACCAATCAGAAATAATTTCACTGTTTTATTAATTTAATTTTTCTTCCTAATTTGCAGTAGCATGACTTTTTGTGGAAACTTAACGCTGAGCCAGCATGTAAAAGAAGGTAAATACTCCGCTCTGTCGCTTACCTTATCTCAGCGCTGTCGCAGCACTGTGTCCTCCTACAGAGATGGAGAACTCGGCGTGTTATTGGCCGGACCGGTCCAAACCAAATGGTGCCACCGGGCCGACCGGCTGTCGTGGCGACGCTCCAGCGTATACGGTGTGTGGGGCCGGGACGGATAAATAAACTCACGGGCAATATAAACAGATCGGCCGGGCGCCTACACGCAGACGGGCTTTCCAGCATATCGTCACGTCTATAGGGAGTCTAATCGATAAAAACAATCCAGTGATTCCTCGACAGGCGGCAGCACGGACACAGTATACGGAGAACGGGGCTGCGTTCTCCGACCGCTGACACCTCCAACCGGAGCTGGGCTGTAGATTGGGGACTTCCAGATCCACATGATATGAGCCATTCGAGCAATACTGCGATAAGGTGTTGGACGCGCTTTTATCAGTTTATTCTTATCCAGCGACAACGGTGGATTTTAATGTTTTTACTTTTTGTTTTTCTGCCTAATTTTATACGGCTCATATAGCACTTTAATTTTATTCTAGCAAGAAATGCATTCAACATAAATAACACATTGTTGGCATATCTAAGTTTTTTGTGGGCATTCGTATTCCCGACCACGCAGGGATAGAGCTCGTCATATGAAGAATCAGGACTCTTCGCTAACTAGCAGTCGGGACTAACCGACGGACCTCGCTCTCGACCTACATACATAGTTTTACCGACACACAGGCACAGACGACACGACACGAGAAAGTATAGGTACAGCGTACCGTTCGCCACTCGCGTTTTAGATGTCGATTTCGCCAGCGTAATGTCGATGTTTCCATGAAGTCGCCGTTTCAGTTCTGTCGTGCTCACAGTATGAACAAAATCTTACATCGGTAAACATTATCGCAGAAGCTGGCAGCCGCAACTTACACATACCGGGCATTTTTCCATATTGAAATCGGTATGTACTACCTAAACATATCCACGGCCTGTGCTTTGACGGAAAATCCGCGGAGCTCCGACTACTGAGTGCTAGCCTCAACGTTCTCTCACGGCCGTACTGGTGCCTTCTCGAGTCCCAGAGAGTGAAATTTTGTAATGTAAGCTTAGCATCGATGTATGTGAGCGATAGAAGCCGCTGTCTCTGCCGATGCAGTGCCGGCATAACAGCTGCACTGCCTGCTAATGGTCTTTGATGGTCACTGGTCGCTATGGTCGCTGGTCAGATGGTCTCTGATGGCTGAACGCTGATCGGATGGTCGGTGATGGGCGCTGGTCGAACGCTGGTTGCTAATCGACACTGTTTGGTCGCTGGTTGCTGCACTAGTCGCCGGTCGCTGATAGGCGCTGGTCGGTCCCAGCTGTCGTCACAGGTCGGTCGTCGCCGGTCGCAGAATTCCTGGCCTGTTTTATTATGAAGCAGAGTCCACGAGCGGCTGGCAGTTTCCATTGGCCCGTGGCGGTGAGTTTATTTATCCCGCCGCGGGCCCACACGCGGTATATACGCTCGAGTCACTCCGATCAGCCCGGTGGCACCATTCGGCCCACACCGGCCCCCGAAGGAGCACGCTGAACGCTTCACTCCTGCGGATAAGGTTCAATCGACAACAGAACAGCAGTACAGGTATGGAAGCAATATGTGCAGTCATTGCCAAAGATAAAACTTGCTGCTATGATTCTATTATCATGGAATAAATTCACACATAAATATATATCGCATTATTGGTTTTGATACGAACTTCTATAGGTATCCGCTATCATATGGCGCGAAACGGTGCCAACAATTTAAACATGGATCGTAATGAATTTATATCCCCAGGCTGACTCATTATAAATGAATGTGCAGCCACAGCAGCTGTCAAATTATTTATAAACGTTCAACTTTTCATGGGGTATTCATATATTTCAGACTTTTCGACGAGCGCTCAATGCTACAAATAATGATAATTTGAACGGTCAACATCAGTATTTTAATAGCCGAGTAGTCTATATACGTACGTACTCTGAGCGTATCCAGTGAGCGTGTTGTATTATCCACGTCAGGAGCGGCATGGCCGTCTGGTGGGTGTGTGCGCCGCTCTGCGGCCTGCTGCTGCTGGCTGCCCCCTCCGTCCAGCAGTACCAGTCGGACACGCCGTGTCTGGACGCCCGCAGTCGCCAGGGGCCGCCCATCCCCGGACAGCGGTACCACGACTGTGACGCCGACGGACAGTACCGGCCGCAGCAGTGTGTCGGCTCCGTCTGCTTCTGTGTTGACACTCTGGGAGAGCAGATGAGCCAGTTTGAGGCCGTCGGCAGACATGAGGCGCATCTCGTCTCCTGTGGTACGTTATGTTATGTAGTGCACTTGGTATATATTTCTAAAAGTTTGTTCCGGTGTCTTCTGCAAGATAGTATGATAATCATCGTATGATAATAGTATGATGATCATCTGTTTACATGCAAATGATCGTTACGCTTTATAACTGTATACGATACAAAAAAGCCCGTCCTGCATAATCCTTGTCGTTCATTTTGCTCGATAAGACAATCTATTGCAATTTTGCCCGACTATGTTTCAGCGTGCGCCCGTCAGAAGACGCTGCAGGCGGGCCGGCACGGCGGCCAGTCGGTGACCTGCGACCGGCGCGGTAACTTTGCGCCCCGCCAGTGTGTCGGCTCCCAGTGTCACTGTGTGGACCCGCTGACCGGCCAGAGGCGCGAAGAGCTCGGATCGGTGCACGTCAGTCAGATCGGCCAGCTCCGCTGCGGAGCCGAGCAAACGGGACAGTACCGGGGACAGAACCGCGGACAGCACGGCGGACAGCGCGGACAGCTCGGAGGACAGCGCGGACAGCTCGGAGGACAGCTCGGAGGACAGCTCGGCGGGCAGCGCGGTCAGAGGAGGCGGCTGGGCGCTCCCGATCGGCTCGGCCGACCACTGGTTAGTGTGGGGTGGAACGGGGGTTAGTGTCGGGTGGAATGGGCTGGGGTTGGGCGACCGCTGAGTGCAGTGATTTGCAAGTGTATATAGGCTGACCACTGCTAGCATAGGAAGACTGCTAGGTACTAAAAGGCACCTTTCAAATGACTGATTTACTTGACAGAGTCGGATGTGACATCTCAAAACATGACCCGTGCCATCTCTTCTTTTGCGCACGCAGCTCGGTGGCAACACGCCCTGCTGGGACGAGCTGCGGCAGCATGAAGCACGCAGCGAACCGCTGCTGGGCGCCGAGAAACCCAACTGTGACCGCACGGGCAGGTATCACCCCAAACAGTGCAAGGTAAGCTGAATGGGTAACAACGGGTAAAGACTCAATTAAAATAAACATTATTTTGTTGTGGAGCTCGGGCTTTTCCTCGTTAAACATTCCTTCCCGTCTACCTTTCACAGGGCTCGGAGTGCTTCTGCGTGGACCCGAACAACGCCCCGCTGCCGCGGTACCGCGCCAGCCGCGCCCAGGGCGCCGCCATGGGCTGCCTGTGCTCTCGCCGCGAGTGGGAGCTGCAGCAGGGCGGTCTGCTCGGCCTCAGCGTCAACTGCGACGAGCTCGGTAACTTCGCGCCGCACCAGTGCGTGGGCTCTCGGTGCCACTGCGTGGAAGCCGTCACCGGCGAGCGGCTGCCCGGTCTGGAGGCGCACGTGGCCGACCTGCGCAGCCTCGACTGCGCCGCCCATCGGCGGCAGCTGCTGGGCGCCGGCCGCTCCTGCGAGGAGGAGCGCCGGCGGACCCCGGCCGGCCAGCCGCAGCCCGAGTGTGACCGGACCGGGAAGTTTGCACCGGTCCAGTGCTCGGGCGACCTCTGCCGCTGTGTCAGTCCGGACGGAGAGACCTTGGAGGGCTACGATCAGCCGATCCAGTACAGAGCCAGCATGTCCTGCGGTGAGTCGGAAAGCAGCGCCCTGCACACCCTGCGCCCAACGTCCTCCCCGTACTCACGCTCAATGGAATGTTTTCAGTCACGGTAGCATTTGCCGACCATCAGCCGCATTAGCAGCTGCGTTTCACGCGCTGTTTCAGAGCTCCGTGCTATGCGGCACAGCATGCATCAGGCGCAGATGGTGCTGCCATCTAGCGCCCGCTCTAGGAACTACTGAGCCATGCGGCACAGCATGAATCAGGCGTGAATACTAGTGTCATCTATCGTCGAGATTAGAAACGACTGAGTTGTGCGGCACAGCATCAATCAGGTGGCGATAGAGGAGCCGTCTAGCGCAAACATTATGTATAAGCTACCATGAGCATGAATCAGGCGCACATATCAGGAGCAGCCTTTCATCTGAATGAGATGAAATCTGATGATTGCATGACTTAGTAAGCTACTAAATCATGTAAAGCATAGCAAAACATCGTGTTAGGTGCAGTGAAACTGAGCGAACATTGCGTCTACATCACATGATAAACGTTCTGCCATTGGCGGTGTATGCAGAACGTGACAGTGTGTTTCTCCTCCTCTCCCCGTCAGCCTGCGCGCGCCGGTCGTGGGAGGCGTCGCGCGACGGCCTGGGCCACCCGGTGGTGTGCGACAAGTTCGGCGGCTTCCACAGCCACCAGTGCGAGGGCAGCACGTGCTACTGCGTGGACCCGGCCAGCGGCCAGCCGGCCCCCGGCGGCACCGTGCACGTCTCCCAGCTGGCCAGCCTGCGGTGCGGCGAGCAGCGGCCGGCGCTGGGTAGCCGGCAGCCCTGCTGGCAGGAGCGCCGCCGCCGCGAGCAGCTGCAGACGGCGTCGGCGCGGCCGCTGCTCGGCCTCGAGCTGCCGCAGTGTGACCGCTCCGGACACTTTGAGCCCCGACAGTGCACCGGCTCCGAATGTTACTGTGTGAACGCCGAGGGGACCCGGCTGAGCGGCTACCAGGGCGGCCGGCAGCAGCACCACCAGATGCACTGCGGTGAGCCAGAGGGGCCGGGAGGGATACACAGCCGTGTATAGTCTAACGCTGTGAATGGTCGGGATACTGGCGGATACTAGTCCTACAAGTGATTTAGTGATCTGACTGACCCTCCCTCTTCCTCTCTTCCCGCAGTGTGCGCCCGTCTGAAGGAGGAGACCCGCGCGCTGGGACTGGTGGGCACGTCCACCAACTGCGACTCGCTGGGCAACTTTGAGCGCCGCCAGTGCCGCGGCTCGCAGTGTTTCTGCGTGGACCCGCACACGGGCGGACAGGTGTCGGCCCAGTCGATGCACATCGCCCAGCTGAGCGCGCTCGACTGCTCCGGCTCCGGCTCCGGACCGGCTCCGGGCGGCGGCGGCGGACGCCCGCTCCTGGGCGGGGGACGGCGCCGGCTCGGTGAGGACGGCAGCGGCCAGCGGGTGCGTCCCGGCCAGGGCGGCAGGGGTGTGAGGGTGCTTCCGGGTCAGGGCGGCAGCGGTCAGCGACAGCTACTCGGCGGCGCGCGCCGGCTGGGGGAGGACGGAGCCGGTATGCGGGTCCGGCCCGGACAGGGCGGCAGGGGCGTCAGAATTCTGCCCGGCCAAGACGGTAGCGGCCAAAGGGTCTTCCCAGGCCAAGACGGTAGCGGGCAGCGAATTCGCCCCGGCCAGGATGGCAGAGGTCAGAGAATCTTCCCGGGTCAAGACGGCAGCGGTCAAAGGGTCTTCCCGGGTCAGGATGGCAGCGGTCAGCGAATTCGCCCGGGCCAGGACGGAGCTGGCACCCAGCAGCTGTTCATCTCAGGCTACTGATCGCTGCCGACTGTCGTGCGGGTCGTCGCAATGTCAGATGACACCGTTGTGAGACGCAATTACTCCCAGCGTCGGGGAATGTCTAGAGAACACACCATGTCAGAGGTATTTGTTTGCCTGTCCTGGCATCGTGCTATGTGATTTGAATAGTGCATCGCGTGATTTGGAATCCAATACATAAATTAACACGATAAAACCGCATTTCACATAGTAGCGCGTATTGCCGCTGCTGTCCAGAGGTTACCGTCTTACCACGAAACACAGCTCGTGATGCTCATCTGGTTTGTATTGCATCAGCGTGACTCAGAGCCATAAAACACGCCAGAGATCACAGTAAAAACCGGATGGTCAATTGATGGAAAAACAACAAAAAACGTTGTAAAAAGTTCACAGATAAAAGAAACCGTTTCAACACCCACGCGCATTTTAAATAACATTGTAAAAACATCGCACCGCATGCAAGTTTACACTCTGGAGATAAAACGCTCCGCGCACATGTCAGTGAGCGCGGCACTAAGGCCGTCGGGACGGACGCAGCGCCGGTCTCCTTTGAACTGAGCCGGACACGGCGCCAGCCCCCTGTACTGGGGACGGGGACGGCGCCGCTCACTGGGGTCAGCGGCCCGGCCAGGGCGGCCCCCAGGGCGGCGGCGGGCCCGGCCACACCTGCGGCCACGGGCCCGGCTGACGCAGCTGCGCCAGCAGCGCCTGCGCCAGGTCGGGCGGCGCCAGTCCCGGCGGCGGGCCCAGCGGCCGCGGCCGGCCGGCCGGCGGGCCGGGCCGCGGCGCCGGCTGCCGCTCCAGACTCTCAGCCGTGTGCGTACCGGGCACCCGGCGCGGCCCACCGGCGTCACCGGGTCCGGGTCCGGGTCCAAGGGGTCCACCGGGTCCGGCGCCGCCCAGCAGCGCCAGAAGATGAGCCGCCGCCGCCGAGTTCGGGTCGGCCATGAGCCCAGGCGCCCGGCCGATCAGCGGGTGCTGCTGCTGCTGCTGGGGATGGTACTGGTGCTGGGGCGGCTGCTGGACCGGGGGCTGCTGGACCGGGGGCTGCTGGGGCTGCGGCTGCTGGGCCGGGGGCTGCTGGGGCTGTGGCTGCCGTGGTGGCTGATGCTGATGCTGGGGCTGCTGGGGCCGCGGCTGCTGTTGGGTCGGCGGTGGCTGAACCCGCTCCTGCCGCGATGGCGCCGGTGACCCTCGCGCGGGATCGGGGGCCCGCCTCTCCACTGGCTGATGGTGCTCGTCCTCTGGAATAGCAGCAGCGAATTACACGATGAAACGTCTAATCGCACACACGGAACATGAGTGTTTACGGTGTTCATTTCGATTGAGTTAAAGGTGGCTGGTAGCACTCGTGACAAGCGCCACCTAACGACCACAGATGACAGGTGAATGTAGCGTACTCTGTTTCGCGTCCCCACTTCCACTTCAATTCGTCGGAACTCGGGCGTGCATTTTATTATGTCCCTGTAATCTCCGTTGAAAGAGATTTACAAAACGAAGGCATAAATGACTTAAAGATAAACGGTGAAACTAGAGGTCGTTCGCTATGCTTCAGAAAAAGGAACAGGAGCACCTACAAATATCAATTTCCATCGCTATGAAAAATATTATCAATAGAAATCATAAGTTTGTTAAAGATACACGGTGAAACTAAAGGTCGTTCGCTATGCTTCAGAAAAAGGAACAGGAGCACCTACAAATATCAATTTCCATCGCTATGAAAAATATTATCAATAGAAATCATAAGTTTGTCAGATAAGCAGTGTCTTTGTCACGGATGAATCACGACACACACAAAAACAAACAAAATCACTGTCAAATGTAATGTGCCGATAACTGACATTTCTCTGAACTGGCCATGGTGTTTGCGCAGAATACGGCGCCGACTGTTTATGTCTCTAGCGCTGACACACTTGAGTGACAGACCTTGGTCGGCATGTATATTGTATATCGGAGGCCAGTCTCTGTACAGATGTGTGTGCCTCGCACTCAGCTGTATAAACTCGCCCTCCTCGCCCTCAGACCGTCCTCTCTAAGTGCCCATGACTGCAGGACGCAGACCTTCAGCCATTGTGCTCAGATTTACACATGACAATGACATGTATTGTATTGAGAGTATATGAGATTCCACGATAAAAATAGCGAAAGTTACGTTAATGGCGTACCGGTTTCGTCTGTTCACTTCGTCGGCGCCGTAGTTTTGATATTTCTTATTGTGGAATTTCATATACTCTCTCAATACGATACTTGTCCATATCATAAATACACATGCCATGTCTTTGAGGGTGCTGTACAGTGGACTGACACTGTCGTAGCTGAGCAGAAACATACCCCCCCCCCCCCCCCCTGCTGAGAAAACATATGCAGGGCCAGAGCCATAGAGAGGAAACATGTCCCGCTGAGGAACCCTGTGCAGGACCAGATGAAATAGAAAGGAAATATGCGCAGGATGTAGAGTAGTCTATTGCAGGACCAATCCGATCGATAACTACTGGGTGTAGTCGCTAGGACATAAGCTCGAGCTTTGTTTTACACAAAGAACAAAGCCTGTAGGGGCGGGGGGCTCCCACATGCCTCGCCCTCTTCAGGACAGAAAAAGTCCGCCAACCATACTTTGACTGCACCTTGCAATCTGTCAGGAGCAGAGACGGAACCCCGATAACGGCAGAGAGTGTCGGAGACCGTACGTACACCGACAACAGCGGAGGGCGGCGGCCTGCTCAATCACCGACTGGCCGATGTTTGGCTCGCCGTATGGCAGCATAGGAGTGTTGTGGGCAGTCACCACGCCTTCCGCCTTCACAATGGCAGGGGTCCTGACTGAGGTCTGAGTTAGATAGAGGGCACACAACCCGTATCCGACGAGGTCGACGTCGAATCTGCCGAGCGTGGCATTGTGGCAGGAATGCGACCATCTGATGCCTTCGTTCAAACATTCAATGCTAACGAATACAAAAGCTTGTGATGTTATTGCTTCACGAGAAGCGAGACTGAGTCTGGAGTGAGACATTATGGACCCGCGAAGGCCAAACATAGCCCAACAGTCCCATGGGTGGTCTGCCCTGCTGATCAGAGACCCATGGCCAGCGAAATCGCCCATCTCGTGAACAGAGACGGTGCTACGGGGAACGCACAACTGAGATGTCTCCAACACTGGATGAAGAGAAAACAGGAAACGTCCAGCTCCCTGGCAGCTCTCCACCTCACGGCAGAAAGGATATGACATCACCCCGTTCCACAGAGCGATACGCCATGTGTGACGTCACCCCTCAGCGGCCACCAGATGGCAGCAGCGGTGACTGACGGGGCGACTGGAGGTGTTTGTGCGCAACGGTCCGTATTCCGGCCACACCCGGCCGGCGCAGTTCAGAGAAAGGTCGAGACGGCCGCAGCCGCAGCCGCACCTCCGCTGGTGCGGGGCTGTGTAAGATGACCGCGGCCTGCTCTGTCATTGTGTATTTGTAAAATGACGCCAGCATCGGAACAAGTGAGTGGGCGCGAAGGTTACCGTTAGGCGTCACCGCCGAACAAACGCAGTCGCTGAGTCCGATCTGCGTATGAGCTCAGATAAATAATAAATACGAGCCGGTGTAGACAAAATGAATCATCCTGAGAGACGTTCCAATGTCTGTGTGAGCTCCTCTCCGCTCATGGGAACGTCCATATGTCTGCGACAAGAAAGATTTTTGAGATGGAATACAAATTCAAGTTCTCGCACAGACGCAGCCATTCGAGACCGGTGATCAGTTTTGGGAATGTCAGCAACAAGCTAATTTCTCTATGAATTTAGTGCGGAAGTTTTGAATGACCACCTGTCGTCGACATGGCCAATGGGGGCCGGTGATAACATTTGACATCAAGTACCATAATGAAAGTCGGGCGAAAAAAAAATGCCGCAATTTAGCGCACTCATACACGCCGTCACGGTTGGGGCCACCCACTCGGTCTACTGGCCGACGACCCTTCTCATCAACTGGAAACTGTCACCCTCGGGAGCATCATAGTCCATCGCCGAGCATCCCGCGCTAGGATTTCCACTGAAGGAAGCCCGATACTTTCCAGCTAAGGTATGAAACGAGTCGAAATCGTCATGGGATAACGAGTGTTGTTCCCTTCGACAGTGCTGTCCATCAAGACACCGGATCTAACTCGTCGCATGCCTGTAGCCGTGGTGAGCGACAGTGCAGCCCAAAACCATTATCTTCAAGTTAAAAAGACTGAGAAGACCGACACCGCTATTCCAGCGAAAAAGTGCGTATGGATCGATGTTTGTATTCAATTTCTAAAACATCTGTCAAGCAATAACAAAGCGATAACGGATAAACGCCTCGTCCCCAGTCGATTCACCGATGATAATGATGGGATGCACATTTTCTGGGACGTCACTATCGATTTCAACACAGCACCATTAATGTTGCGGCCTGCCGTCCTGGGGTTCGGCGGCTGGCGCGGCCGCCCTCACCCGCCACCAGTAACCGCTCCGGCCGCCGCCGGATACTTTAAGTCGTCTGTTGCCTCTGCGCCACTCGCCGGCGCCTCTCCGGCCGACCCCGCCGCCACCACAGCCGCCCAGCGCGCCCGGCAGTCCCGCGCCGACCCGGGACAGATGGGAGGGAGGGAGCCGCCGCGCTCACACCGAGGCGGCGTCCGCGGCCGGCGCACCCCCGCCACCCTGTCTGGAGTTGTAAAAGACGAGCGTGCTCTGCGGCTCGGGATGCTCCGGCGCGCCCGCCGCCGGGCCGGCCTTGTCCGGTTTCCGGCGGCGGGTGCGATGCCTCTGTCTTTTCTTGGCGGTGGGAGCGGCCGCGGCGACCTCCACTGCCTCGGCCGCCGCCAGAGCCGCCGGCGACACAGCGCTGTCGGGACCGGCGTCCCCGGTGGACGCAGCAGCGGCGACAGCGGTCACAGCTGAAGCCGCCGCTGCAGCCGCCGCTGCTGCTGCGGCCGCTGCAGCAGGGCTGACACCAACGGCCGGCGCTGCGCCGCCCTGGCCTCTCCTGGCCGAGGACTTTGGCTGGGGCCGGGCCGGTCCGTTTGGCTTGGTCTGGGGTCGGGCCGGTCCGTCTGGTTTGGTTTGGGGTCGGGCCGGTCCGTCTGGTTTGGTTTGGGAGGAGTCTGGACCGTCGCCTTTGGTAGGGGAGCTGGCAGGGTTGTCCCCTTTGGTCGGGGAGCTGGCAGGGTTGTCCCCTTTGGTCGGGGAGCTGGCAGGGTTGTCCCCTTTGGTCGGGGAGTGGTTCGGACCGTTCCCTTTGGTCGGGGAGTGGTTCGGACCGTTCCCTTTGGTCGGTGACCGGTTCGGGCCCTGTCCTTTGGTCGGGGAGCGGGCCGGGCCGTTGGGCGGGCCGGGCGCCGGCGGCGGCTGTTTACCTGCGGCCGGAGGTCGGCGGGGCCGGCGGCGCGGACAGTCGGCCGCCCAGTGGCCGATGCGGCCGCACGAGTGGCAGCCGCCGGCGTTCGGCGGCGGCCCCTCGGATAGGTAGTCGGACGACATCAGGAACGCCTGTCCAGACACACAGACAGACACAGCGGGACATCAGCGGGAGGGGCCGCGTCCAATGTCTCAGTCTGGACGTCATGAAATGGCACATGGAATACGACACACTGATACAGTTTGATCAGCAGATAAATTTCACCAAACGAAGTGCACAATTTCGCTTTAACATTATGAAATCTGCGTAATAACTGCTGAAGTTTGCTGTTCGTTTTGCCATTCTGCCGCGGTCTGTGTGCCCCCGTTGATGTCTATGTTGATGTTCTGTCTCTGTTTCAGCGCACTCACCCTGAAGTCCCTGTATCCGTGCGGTAGGGAGTTGGGGATCGGACGCATGTGGTGCAGCCGCCATAGCAGGAACGTACGGCGGATGAACGACGCCACTGCCGGCACAGAACAACAAGGTGTCACAAGGGGTTAGACAGTCACGCGGCATCACTGCCACACGATCACACTGACGAGGACAAAGTAAGTGTCCGTTCGCTACTCAAAAGGAACTGTAGCGTCACGCTTGCTCTGCAGTGAAGCGTATATTGCTTCAAATCATACCTCCCAGCGATAAGCAACGAACTTCACCAAGTAAACCGGGTAATCATTGGACACCAACGACACGCTGCTGCATGTAGGACGCATGCAGCGAACACCCGTTGTTAAGGCTGAAACAGACTCCTTCTGCATTCAGGAAATCGCATGCGAGAGCCTATTCAAATGTATTATAATTCTGCCCGCATCAATCGCATGCGGGAGGTGCGTGCGATTGATGCGAGCGTGCTTCCATGTACTTGAATAGGCTCTCGTATGCGTTTCCTGACTGCGTAAAGACTTAAGAGTATGTTTCAGGCTTAAGGGCCCGCCCGGTCCACTCACTTTTCCGTCTCACGCCGCCTCCCAGGTTATGCGACAGCAGGAACGGGTCCTCGATGGCGATAAACGAGCCGTTCCAGAGCTTCTCGAACTTGCTGAGCACCTCCATCCGGCGGATACATACCACGTTCCGCTCAAAGTCAAAGTGCTCGCCGTAGAAGCGCAGGAAGCCGATCCACAGCTCGCCGACCGAGCAGGTGTTGCGGCCGGCGTCCGGCCAGAGTTCTCTCAGCCGTCCCAGCTCGGTGAAGAAGGACACGTCGGCTCCGTCGACCAGCCGCGGCCGCCGGCTGGCCGCGTCCAGTTCCTGCAGCACCGGCAGCACGGCCGGCTTGCAGCGCTGCAGGTAGTAGATGAGTAGCAACGTGTACGCGTAGCTGGAGAGGCTGCCGCGCGAGGCGTCACAGATGTCGCAGATCTTGGCCATTAGCTTCACCATGTAGCCGAGTATCTGTCGGGCGGAGGAGGAGGTCAGATGGGAGGGGCTGATCGGCGGGTGCGGGGGGCAGTGAGGGGCGAGACTCGGAGTAGCGTGGACACTGCACCTCTTGCCTGCCGCAGCACGGAGAACGATGGGCAGCCAACGGTGGACAGGGTAGCCTACCACATCGGCTCGAAAAAAAAATCGGAGACTCGAGCCATCGATGATCGAGATGGAATTTAATGTGCATCAAAGTCATCTGCTTTCTAAGAGTCTATCATGCCCTTCAACTAGCAACAAAACAGCAAGCAGCAGTCTAGTGAGCCTTCCTCCACGGTTACCACCGTGCCGGGCCGGCGCCGACGCGCCCTCCGTTTCACTCACCCTGGCCCGGCTGTCCAGCTTGGCGTACGTGTGCAGCAGCAGTGTGTTATGCTGCGCCAGCGTGTTGTACAGACTGATGTCCGCCTCCAGGCGGGAGCGGCGGTCCGTGAACTTGACGATCGGCACCTTAGCCGTGCTGATGGGGATAACGTTATAGAGGAACCGCAGCCTCTTCAGCGTCTCGGCCAGCTTCAGGATGATGTCCGGCTGGTCCAGAGACTGGCGGGAAGGCAGACGGTCAGAACGAGGAAAGGGAGGGACAGAGCGAGAGAGGGGAGGAACTGTTGGACAGAACGCAAGACTGTGAGAGTGAAGGGATGCCACTGGTCAGACGTGTTTAATGGATTCTAGAGGCACGGTCGGACAGGCAACAGTCAGCGATACCGTTAGATTATATGCTAAGAGCTAGGAGCTAGCTATTGAGTAGACTCTCTGAACGAACGCCACCCTGATCCCCCACCTCCCCTCCCGCCCCCTCTTAGTGTCACCTGCGGGTCGGAGCAGTCGTCGAACGTCAGGCAGATGTCCAGGTCCGAGTTACGGAACCCGAACCCGTTACACGACGAGCCGAACAGAGTGAGGCGCGCCGACGGGAACGCCTGGTGGCGGATAAAGTCCTCGATGGTACGCAGCATGCTCTCCCGCACCTGGTACTCGTGCGCCGGCGGGGCCCAGTCGCCTGGAGAGGGGAAGATGGGGGGTCAGAGGGGGTCAGAGGGGGTCAGAGGGGGCGACTCAGTCGCCTGGGGGGACTGAAAAGGACTGAAAGATACAAGCAAAAGAAGAGGCTGAACAAGTATATATTTCACACGTCCATCGCGAGGTCGAATTCAGTTAACTCAATGACAAATGTAAGTAATATTGTTGTAATGTACAACATGCTCTGCAGTGGTGACACACGCTGAGGCCCTAGTCTGGTACCAAACGGGCACGTGTACTAACTGAATACGTCGGAGCAGAGCCTGTCGAGCAGCTGGACTTGTTTGGCGGTCGGCGGCGGCAGCTGTCTGGCCGGAGGTACTACCAGAGTGGGACAGTCGTCAGGCAGGTGGTTGGCCTTCTGGCAGATGCTGCATACCACCGGCATACTCTTGAAACGGGGGAACACGCCGTCAGTGGGTAATAGTGGGGGAGGAACACACCACCGGGGAAAACATGCCGTCAGTGGGTAATTAAACTGGAAGGAAGGACACCACTGGTAAACTTTGAAACGGGGAACACGCCAATCAGTAAATATCCACACGTGACCGATTGAATACATGTGTTATCGTTCCTCCATCGCCCGAGCTGACCAGCCAGTAGGCCCTTCCCCATCATTAATTATGAAACCAGGGTCACTGAAAAAACTAATGAATGTGCATTATGCATTCATGAGTGAATGAATGAGTGAAAGAATAAATGTGCAATGTCATAGACTATTGCATTATACTATGATATACAGACTACAGAATATATGGCAGTGTGCACTGTGCATTGTGCATGCATGTTAGGGTTTCTTCCCCTCGTCTCACCGCCTCTCCACAGAGCAGCTGTCGGTTGAACTGGTACTGCATCTGCTCGGCGCTGAGACCCTCCAGCAGAGCGGCCAGCCGGGCGGCGGCGGCCGGCGGCGGGCCCCGGCCGGCCACCAGGTGGATGGCCGGGCCAGCGGCCGTCCGCGGCACCCCGAACAGCAGGCACGCGGCGCGCAGACGGTCCAGCATCACATCGGCCACCGCCGCGCTGCTGATGCTGCGACTGATGTTCCGCTTACTCTGAACGGGGTCTGGCGGGGGGAGACGGGGCGTCAGGCCGGGAGGATAGGCACGGCGGCAGGGGAATAACGACCAAGGCGTCACAGACGATTATCACGAATGCCGAAATACACGAGCGAAATACCTGAGCGAAATACTCGAGCCCGGCATAATAGTTAAATGGTTATTTTGAAGGAATAATACGATAAATGTCATGTTAATCAAAGTGAATCAACGCTGCCGTGACAAGACGGTCGTCTAAAAACACAAAACGCTCAGTGTGTCATCATATTTTTTTATAAATTTTGTCCGAAACTTTTGAATGGAAGGATTTACAATGACAGAGTCCCCGCTAAGTGAAGCTTGTTGCATTGACCCTGCCCTCTACCCTCCGATCGCGCAATTCCGGTTCTATGGCAGAATCTAGAGTCCAAAGTTTAACCCTCGCCCGTAAACGGCGATCTGCCACCTTCGCCCATGCAGGGGGGGGGGGGTTGGTGCGACCCCCCTTGGCGTTTGAAAACGGAGCGTCGTAGAGCTTAGCGGAAAAAACCAACGGATTGCTCTCGCCGAGATCTCGCGATTGGTGGTATATTTTTTGGTCCTAGGTCAACATTTGACCTACTTTTGACCGGTCAAAGGTCAAATTTTCGGAAAAATAGACTTTTTTCAACTTTCGGCGGCGATTGCAGCAAAACGGTGGGAGATATCGACTTGAAACCTTCACTATCGTGTTCCTTGATCAATTCTCTATCGTTTGGTATGTATTTCGTTTCCCTAGCTCTAAAAATGGCGCGTTGGGAGCGCCGGAAGTCGGCAAGGTCACAGTCGGCGGCAGAAATTCGAAAAATCAAAATTTAAATTTTTGAAATCTGATTGTATTTTTGGATTTGGGAGGTCCATTTGCTCCCTATAGAAGCTAATATTGCTGCATATTCCCATTGAGGTGACAAGAATTAGCAAAATAGTGGTTCGGGCGCTTTTCAAAAATAGTACCGGACGCTGTTCCTCTTGTGACGTCATAGCTCCGTGACCTGACCTGACCCGGTCAAGTTTCTTATACCATATGATAGCCAATACTTGCCCCAACATGCATGGGAAGTTTCATCACGATCCATCAACCGATCTCCGTACCACCGGCAGGAAACCTCGGGCGTTGGCACTCAGTTTGTGAAAATCCGGCCGGAGGCTGTTCCCTTTGTGACGTCATAACTCCGTGACCTGACATGACCCGGTCAAATTTTTTTTATCAAAAGATGCGCAAGGTTTGCCCCATAAGGTACCCAAAATTTGGCGGCGCTGCGCGCCGCCGTTTTTGCGCTATTTCCGAAAAACCTCAGGGGGGGGGGGGTTGCACCAACCCCCCCCCCCCCCCTACATGGGCGAGGGTTAACGTGCGCATAAAGCAGCGCACGGCCGGTCCCCTCACTGATTTCGTCTGGCTACGGCCTGCCACCAACCGCAACCATACCTGTCAGGAGGCCCATAAACGTCAAGCGCCCGTCGCGCTTCGAACCCGGACTCTTATAACCGGAACGGGTGCTCTCACCACGCGGAGTCCAACGCTCTACCGACTAAGCTACGAGACCGGCAATGGATATAGCGTGGATCGCCGTACCCTCTATGGAGATTTTCTTGCTGTTCCAGCCCTTGTCAGCTCGCGTGACGAGCTCTCGCTGTCGGATAGAGACCACGGCGTCGCTGTCGGACAGCTCCAGCGCGTAGAAGCGCAGCATGCGCAGCCACAGGGTGCCCAGGTCGGATGTGTTGTCACTGCGCCACGAGCCGCAGGCCGCCGCCGCCGCATCTGCGACCGCACACACAGGGCATGGGTAATGAGCGTCATGCAGTACCAGAAAGAATTCTACAGACGTCACTGCAAATGTGAACAATGTTGACAATGTTGCCTATATTCTTTTTACGTCAAAAACTCAACTTTACAAGTTGAGCTGAACATTTTTTTCAGCTAAGTTCGCGCCAAAAAATTCACAGTAAGTAAAAACACTACACCTGTATTTCATACAAAGCAGCACTTCCATGACGAATCCCAGCCTGTCATTTTACAACCCTCCCTCGGACACCCATCCTTTCGCGGTGCCGCGTCCGTACCAAAGTCGAGTTGGTCGTCGTCTGTGTTGGCGCCGACCATCTGGTGCAGCGCCGGCAGCACGGGCGGCTCGCACTGCTGCAGGAAGAAGATGGTCATCAGCACGAACGCTGACGGCGGCAGAGAGCCCGCGTGCGGACGGTCCATCTCACATATCTGAAACAGAGGCGGAGGGGCGGTGTTATGTTACTGAAATAGTTCATCTTTCATTCATCAATCGAACGAGACATAGGCAGTGTCACATGTCTGATGTGCCTCGTCCCGCATACCTATTACCTAGATAAAAAGTGATATGCGAGCATCTGGTTGGTAGTAGGTACTAGAGCTATCGCGACCCTTGGCGTACTTTGCGTGTAGCTGTGGTTGTCACTACTGTGTTCGTTCATGCTATGATACCCAATACCGCTTCGCACACCCCCCGCCCGTTATAGACCCGCCTCCGTCTCTCGTCTCTATCCGCTCCGCTCGGCTGGGTTACCCGGGCCAGGTGTCGGAGCGCCACTGCCAGCGGCGCCGCGCGGCCGTCCACTCCCACGTACAGCTCCACCAGCCGGGCCAGCAGCACGTCCCGCTCGGCGCCCAGCGCCAGCTGACACCGCTGGCCGCTGGACGCGTGCACACAGCGCACGTGCGGCGTCCAGCTGGTGAAGTCGTGCTCCACATCACTGGCGGGTGACGCGGGGGGGAGTCAGAGTCAGAGTCAAAGCCAGGAGTCAGGGGAGCGTCAGACGGGCCGGCAGCAACGGAGGACGGGTGGTTGAGTACAGGCAGCGTTAGAAGGCTGGCTATGACACAAAGACAGGGGTCGGTCAGTTCGATTCACGGTGACTGGAATGGCTGATCATGGATCTGGCTGATGATGGAAGAGCGCCGAACTAACAAACAAATAGGAATTGAGACAAAGAGGTCAATTATCTGTCAACAGCATCTGGAATTCTGGAGGCGTGTGCTGTTTCACCAAGGGCCAAAATGGTTCCTTTAAAAACGATAGGACATGGAACCGTACATATGCATTGTATTATCAGTCCGCTGCTAATCGGTGCGTCACCTCCACCATAGCACACTGTTATCGTTGCAGTTGAGTGCTTGATTAACTATCAGCACCCACTCCCACCCTGCAGGGGCACTTCGACTGGCCTGGTGACCGCGGTATCCACAGCAACCATATCAACGATTAGGCGCGTAACAATGCACTTATATGGCGCTCTAAAGCTCAACTCAGCCGCCGCTGCCAGCTCAGCGTCTGAGTATGACCCGGTCGCTGTGATATGGCCTCGGTCATGACTGTGCATCCGTCCGTCTGGGAAGGATGCAGATAGGGCAGTCCAAAGGTCGGGGAGGCAGGGAGGCTGTGGTACAGCCGCACAGAGGGGGACAGTACACTCACGTGAATAGCTCGCTGTCCTGCAGCGTCTGAATGGCCTGTGTGAGCTGCGCGGCGCCGCGGCTCTCCTCAGCGGGCAGCAGAGCCAGGTCCAGCACCGAGTCAGTGAACCCGCAGCCGTGCCGGCACGAGCCGTATACCTCCAGCGCGCAGTCTGGGGGAAGACCACCGGTCAGGTCAGGTTAGCTGAGAGCCCACAGCCGTGCCGGCACGAGCCGTGCAGTCTGAGAGGGACCACGGGTCAGGTCAGGTCAGCAGCCCGCAGCCGCGGCGGCACGAGCCGTACACCTCTAGCGCGCAGTCTGAGAGTAGTACACGGGTCAGGTCAGCTGAGAGCCCGCAGCCGCGGCGGCACGAGCCGTATACCTCCAGAGCGCAGTCTGGGGGTGCGTAATGTCTAGTTACTGGGAATAAGGTCCACTTCAGGCCAACCGCGAGTCCGAAGGTGATTACATATTTCAGACAGGGAAATGCGCCTCTGAAATTAAAGGGCAGAGGTAAAGCCCACACTTGTATGACCTCCACGTATCGTACGTCCCCTTCCCACCGGTCTCGTACCCCTTCCCGTAACGTTCCGTGGCGCAGCTCGTCCGGTCCGCACCGTGTCCTCAGCCCCCCTCCCTCCCTCCCCACCCTCACCTCCATCCTCGCCGAGTCCGCGGCGCAGCGTGTCCTTCAGCTGGTCGGCCACCGCACGCCGCTCCGCCAGCCGGCCCTCGGTCAGGCCGTGCTCCCGGTACACCTCAGTGAGCAGCGCCGTCAGACACTCAGTCTGCGCGGCCGTCGGCTCCGGCAGCGAGTGCACCGCCGTCAGCTCCTGGTGCCGCTGTGGGTCAAATGGAGAAGTCAGCTAATGGTGCCGCTGTGGGTCAGAATATGGAGAGGTCAGCTAATGGTGGGGTCATAGACAGAGGTCAGCTAATGGTGCCGCTGTGGGTTCAGATGGAGAGGTCAGCTAATGGTGGGGTCATGCACACCTGGTCAGCTAATTGTGGGGTCATACAGACAGACTGACCTGTTGAACTTTTAGTAATGTCTTTAGTCTTTACTATTTTCTATATTTATTTGTTTGCATTAGTCGACTACAGGCCTTGCATTCCACTTACAGTGGCGGCCATGTAGTAAGCTAGGTGACACAGCATACGCAAATGAAGCTGAAGCAGGTGCGTTCCCTCACATGTGCGTTCCCTGAGGACCAGCAAACTTACGGGTGTCCGATAAAACGGAACAAAATGATGCCAACATGTCAGCGGTGGGTGTATGCTGCAGGAAGCAATTTCAAAGCACAGGGATACGGACAATGAACCCTGACTTCACAATTTCACAGTATTCTCACGACCGAACGGTAAGTGGAACAGCCCTGTCTGTCGAGAGCGTCTGTTGGGGACTGCTAGTCCGAAAAAATGCCATCAGGTGGAAGCAGTCGATCCTACTGCGAAACACAGAGAAGGAATGAAAGATCAGCCTGTACTGTGGAAAGCGTGACTTAACCGAGCACATACCAAAGCGGTTCGGGAGACAAAATATATGATCGAGGCTGGAGCCATCCGCCTCGGAGACCGATGCCAACTGCATCAAAAAACAATGCTGCGTTCACTCGAGCCGCAAGAAGTGTTTTTTTTTTTTTGGGGGGGGGGGGGCTGCACCGCTGCAAACAAGCAACAATCACATAACTTAACTATATGGCAGCTCACTTTAAGCTTTGAATGACGCTTCCACTTCTTTCCTTGTTTCACTGCTTTTTCCCCCAAAGAATAAAGAACGGCAGCCTGTAATATAACAGCAGAGTCGGCGGCGATTTATCAGCAATACCAGCGTGCCGACCTTGTGACATGGCCGAGTAGCGAGCTATCGACCGGCTTCAACGCACGCTGTTTGTTGGCGGGTAACCGGCCGCGGCTGAGTCATAACCCGTGCGGTGTGCAGAACCCACCCCACGGGGCGGGGACGGGTAGTGGTGGGGGCCACGATAAAACGGCCAAACTTGTAGAGGACACGGAGAGCCGTGCAGGTGCGAGAGCCTTGACCCCATTGCATATCGCGAAAAATAGGTTTATCGTAGGCAGAATCCACCCAATACAATGATCACCTGATCCCAGCTGTAAGCACCTGTCGTAGATAGCGGTTCCCAATGCCACTCAATGACGATAAAGTTGAAGGCACCGGGCTCGATTCGCTCTAACCCTCGATATATGTACATATATGAAACTGTATGAGACTCGGCGACAGCGTTAGTCTGCGGTTGGTGGAACTAGTCTCAGCCAGCTGAACTCCGTAAAGTGGACTGAACATGTGAAGACTACGTGGATATAAAATTCGGCTTACTATTAACCCATAACCCGGATTATCATAAACGAATCACAGGAGACAGGAAGTTGTATGCAACCTGTTTTTCTCAGCCCAAACTTCGTTAATCGATCTTTTCAAATCATTTGAATTGATAATCCGCCACTGAAAAGAAGCGAAACGAAACGAAATCACCGTCTGGCCAGTGGCGGTGATCCGTTACCACTGAACCTCGTCCCTTTCCTCCCGACTTACTCTTCCGTCTTCGACTCTTCGACTCTTCGACTTCCCGACTTCCTGCTTCTGCTTCCCCGACTGACCATTCCCCGCGGTCCGTCCCAACAACCCTCCCCGTTCCCGACTGACTCGATCTCGTCCCTTCCCTGCCGTAACCCGCTCTGCCCTCCGACTGACCCCGGGTCCCCGCGACCGACCCCAGGTCCCGCGACTGACCCCAGGTCCCGCGACTGACCCGGGTGCTCTCTGCGTGCCGCTGCTCGCTGACGTGTTTCTGGACGGCCTGCAGTGTGTCCCAGTGCAGCTCACACACACGGCACACGTACTTGGCGTTCTTGTGGTGTGACGGCGGCTGTCGGGCAGAAGGCGAGCAGTGAACACAGGGGTAGATGACGCCTAGCCTTAGGTTGTTTTAGCAGTGTGCTATTGTTACATCATGAGCCATCACCTAATGGCTATGGCTAAAAGGCAGGTCTTGCTTTGAATGGCAATGAACAGACCACAATGATTCAACAAGGTAAGGAGTACAGCAGAGTCACTGAGGCAAATATGACAGATGATGCCTAGTAAGCTGAAACCATAAGAAACAAATAAATGACATGAATGGCACCTGCAGTTAAATGAATATCTTAAAATCACACAGAAAACCATAAAAATGACTGCTTCAGGAAACATGTATACAGACATGGCATTATGGAAAAGATTGAACACATTCTACCTTTTTGATTTGGTAGATATGGTAGGTCTCCATCATCTTCTTTGTGACTCCCTGCGGCCGCCAGTGCTTGGTGCCCATATCTTTGGCGATGAGGTCCGCAGGGAAGGTGAGGGGCGGCTGCTCTGTGCCCGCAGTGTCTGGTCCCTCCGGTTCCACCGGCTCCCAGCGGTAGATCAGCGGCCCAGAGTCAGTGATCGCGGGAGCTTCCCCGCCAGTCTCCGGCGGGGGCCGCTGACCCTCTCCGCCCTCCTCTCCATTCTGCGTCATATCCTTGGACCTGCTCTGGGTGGACCCCTTCCTACTGTCGCTCTCGGCTCCATCATCGCTGGGTGTCTGATGGGGTCTGGCCTCCGATCTGCCAGGCTCCTTTGACACTGCCAGAGATTCCAGCTGGTCTGAGAGATGGCTTTCATCCACTTCACCATTGGTCGCTGCCCGACCTTCTGAAGGCGCCACGGTCTCGTCCATAGTTAACAGGTAAAATGTTAGAACATAGTGCTTCCTCAGCTACTCATTGTAGCGTCCCATCACAATCATAGCTGAAACATAGCCAAACAAAAGATCATGGTAGGTATGAGCTTACATATTACATACAGTTTTATAATTTCAGTTAATGGTCACAAATTTTTCATTGTCAGGTAACTTCCTGCATACCTACCTCCATTTCAATTGATTGTTTATTACTTGAGTTGATTTGAGAGATTTTATATAAACATGGCTTGGCAGTAGCTAAGATAGGTAGTTGAGTAGGGATTATAAAAAAATTGTTCCCCTTGAAACCACAAAGGATTAGAAAAGGAAACAACAAAGGATTAGAAATACCGAAAAGAAATGTCAATGCTCTCATTTCAATTTCTAGGCTAAGCTAAAGCTAAAACAGGAGACAGGAACACAGCCAACTGACCACATAATACATGTTTGCATCTACATATCATCTAATTGAATAAATAATTTTGGTCTCACCGTGATCCCACTCCTAGATTGAACCGCAACAGCCTGCCGGCATCGTTGTTTCCGCACAGCCGCTTCCGCTCTCTCTCAGCTGCTCAAGGATACATAAAATGTGACTGATAAGACCTAAAACGATGCTAAAAAGCACAGCTCAAACCAAAGCCTAAAACGCTGAAACCTTAAGCGCTATTTCCTTGCACGCTCCTCCATGAGCGAAAGGGACATGTGATAGGCCGGATAGGCCTATTTATAAAGGCATATTGCCTCTACCCCCCCCCCCTGTGCCGGTGAGGGTTAACCGGGGGGTAGGGTCGCATATGTAGGGGGGTCGGATGGACCCCCCCCCCCATGGTTTTTCTCCCGTAAAAAGCGGCCGATCGCGACGAAACTTTCAGTACCCTCGCATTAATCAATTTTACACCTACCCTGAAAATTTCATGACCCTGACCCCAATGACCTTTGACCTGTGACCTCTTTTCCGAGACCATGTTTGGCCGGAATCGCGATTCCGCGTATGTCGGCTCGCATTAGCCGCGCGTTTGCAAGCTTTTCGTGGCTTTAAACGTTCAAACATCACCACCACACCCGTGTTACCAGTGTGGTGTCGGTTATGCCGTCTGTTGAGCTGGCTGGCTGTAGTCTCAGCTCCGCCCCCACACCAAGGCCGCCCCCCACACCCCCCCACACCAGTGTGACTGCCGACTGGTGTGGGATGACGTTCGCCGTGCCATCTGTTGGCTCCAATGTAAACCCCAGTTGTGCCCCGCCATCTGTTGGCCGTAATTTAGACTTCGGTTCCGCGCTGTCAGTGCGTCCGCCACCTAGCGGTCGTGGTGTGTGTGAGGAAATGTAACTTCGCTCTCTTGCCCCGCGGTCACCGCCGCAGCCGGCCGACGAAGTGGCCGGCTGCCGCCATTTTATAATAAATCCGCTGTCGCTGTTAACGAACCTCTCTCTTTTACACCGGGGATTACTGGCGTGGTGACAGCGTTTTAACCTATGCCTCCCCTTGATGTTTGTTTTGCCAAAAGCGGCGCAGCGACACTTGTCGTATTGTACATTTGAGGCGGTTTATTTTATCAAGATGGCGGCGCTGGCGCGTCCGCGCCGTGGCCTGAGTCACCTGAGTATTGTTTATTCTCGGAATTGACAAGCATCGGATTTGACGTCAACAGAAGCCAGAAGATACGGTTCTGCGCCTGTTGTTTGTTTTTCAAGCTGAATATGTCTGCTGGCTCGCTCTGCCGTGGTTCTGCTGGTGCTGTTGGCCGGAGACATGCTGCGCCACGTCGGTCGCCGCTGCCTTCGACGCCTGTCGGTTTGACCGCCTCAGACTGCCGCCAGTTGCGGGCCGTTGACGGCGGCCCCGCCGACTCCATCTCTGATTCGACTGACTCCCTAGTCCCTGCTGAAGACTGCCGCGCTCACCGTCCGCCGTCCGGTGTGCCCCTGCGTGAGGCTGCCGGCTGGCCGAAGAGCGATTCCAGTCGGGGAAACTGTGGAGCCGCAGCCTGCTGAAGAAGCGGCTGGTCCCCAGTATTTCTACCTTCTCTGCCGGCCTCACCCTGTGGCCGCCCGACACTGGACGGCCGCCCGCTCCTGGTCGCTGTGCGACGCTCCCACCGCGCCGTCGACCGAGGAGATCGGCCCATCAAGACTCGACTGTACGAGCACGTATGTAGCCGTGACCCCGCCCGAGTGTCTTCGTTGTTCATTCGGATTGTGCCTATGCTGATGCGCGCTCAGCGACTCCCCTCTCCCGTTCGTTTGGGGTGATACGAGTATGACCTTACGATTCGATACGATGCGATGTTTAGTGATGCGTGTTTTGCCACCCGCGGTGATTTCACTTGTATTTTTTTTTCCATTCGCTCCTTGCACCTCGTTTTGCAGTCCATCTCAAGGGCTATGCTGATTTTTATCCAGGGCATTCGTAATTTTTTTCTCGTTTTTTTTTCGATTGCGGAAGAGAAGAAAAAGTGGTCACACCACCACACCCGTGTTACCAGTGTGGTGTCGGTTATGCCGTCTGTTGAGCTGGCTGGCTGTAGTCTCAGCTCCGCCCCCACACCAAGGCCGCCCCCCACACCCCCCCACACCAGTGTGACTGCCGACTGGTGTGGGATGACGTTCGCCGTGCCATCTGTTGGCTCCAATGTAAACCCCAGTTGTGCCCCGCCATCTGTTGGCCGTAATTTAGACTTCGGTTCCGCGCTGTCAGTGCGTCCGCCACCTAGCGGTCGTGGTGTGTGTGAGGAAATGTAACTTCGCTCTCTTGCCCCGCGGTCACCGCCGCAGCCGGCCGACGAAGTGGCCGGCTGCCGCCATTTTATAATAAATCCGCTGTCGCTGTTAACGAACCTCTCTCTATTACACCGGGGATTACTGGCGCATGTGATTTGATGTTGCTCCCATGCATTAGGGTGGGTGTCAAGGTCACCTGAGGCTGAAGGTCAGGTCAGGTCATTGACTTTTGGTGACCTCGGTTCACTTTTTCGAGTTTTACATGTTTCTAGGCTAGTTTTTGGATCTGAATTCGAATTTAGCAGCCATTTGAACGTTTACGAAGTAGTTTTGGTGACTTCGTAACATGTTACGAAGCTGTCAGAGGCGGTTGACACATTAAGAATACCCGTCACGACCCCTACCGGTTGAACTGACCTGACACCTGACCCGACCTGGTCTAAATGCTTAAAGACATCATCCGTGATCAAAACTAACACGATATTCGTGATTAGCACCCCGAAAAACCCCTTTGCAGCCACGCTTTACGACTTTCTAACAGGTCCCGATTTTCCCGACTTTGGGTTATTGACCTGACCTGGAAGGTCAACCAATGACCTAGGACCTTAAAATTGGGTATCATCGGCTTCCTCTCGTCACGGGCAACACGCTCGTTTTTCCCGCGAAGCTCTAGCTCTATCAGGGGCCAAACGGCAAGGGGGGGGTCCAACCGACCCCCCGGCCCTACACATTAGAAGCTGGCAAACGCCGCACACATGCGACTAGGGTTGAAATGCCAAAATCAAAGGGGGGCACGGTGCCCTGGTGCCCTCCCCGTTCCGCCGCCTATGCGAGCGACTGTGTTTCCTAAGGTTAAAATAACATGTCATTAGAATGACCGGTATGCGGTGTTTGTTAGGAGTGACCGTTTATTTAAGTTGACCGTTTACTTAAGGTCCTTGTTCATTCATAATAATTATTGACCAAGAGTAGAAGCTACCGCCTTTAGGTAGGTATAGGTACCTACCTGCAAAGTGAACTTTTTATTTCAAGAAGCTGCTTTTTCATAAAACCGTTAACTGATCCAAAATGACTTATTTACATAGGCGCGGGAACGGGGTGGAGGGGGAGCAGCTTGCCCCCCCCCCCCTGCCCCCCAACTCTGGGGCCGTGGGGGCGGTGCCCCCACAACTTTGAGACGGAATACCGCACTTTTTTGCAAATGTTTTTGTGGTGTCGCGAGCTGCTCCCCCCCTGCCCCGGGGCCTGGCGACGCCAGTTGCTCCCCCCTGCCCGGGGGCCTGGCGACGCCATTGGCGGCGCCGGCGCGCAGACGCGGGGTTCGAGAGCAGTCGGCCGCCGGCCCGCGCGGAGCGCGGTTGTGGTAGTAGCGATCGGTGTTTGGCGCTCTAGGAAGTTTAACGCAATGCGGCTTTGGTTGTGAATAAAGAGCTCACGTTATAACAGTTTTCTTTTTTGTTAAATAGCCAATGGATGAAAAATAACTGGTTTAAAACTGGTGAGAAAGCTAGATTTGGGGGTACCTATAGGTTGATTTGTATTATGGTGTGCCCCCCGTAAGTATATTTATAACACTTATTTTATAAGACGTAAGTAGGTACATAGGTACAGCATGCGCACTTGCAAAAGTCTTAATTATCGGTAGGTACGTCACAGGCTAGCGGCGATACACCTATGTTCTATTATAAAGCGATATATCCCTATCGATGGGGCGATTTAGTTAGGTATTACGGCGGGGGCGTTATATGTTACTCCTGCCTACTTTCACTGGCGGATCCAGGGGGGGGCATTTAGGGCCATGGCCCCCCCCAAAGGCCTAAAGTGGCCTGTTTGGCCCCCCCCCAAAACGTCAGAAAAATTGCTAAGAAAATACACCTTGATGGAGGTTTTTAGCCACTTGGTGAAGAAAAGCTTTCCACAGCATAATATGGAGGCAATATGGTAGCAGTGAGGGTCAGTCAAAAGTTGCGCGAGCGGAGTTGCCACCTTCAAAAAAAGACTGGTTGGCACGTGTTTATGGCGCGGCAGCTGGTAGTTGGCGGTGTTTCGCGTGGTGTGGCATCACTGGCGGATCCAGGGGGGGGGGGGGCACGGGAGCCTGAGGTGCCCCTGACAGCAGGCCCGTGGTGCCCCTGGACCCTGGCAGGCCTGTGGTGCCTCTGGCGGGCCTAGGGTGCCCCTGCTAGGCTGCTGATGCCCCTGGGACCTGACAGGACTGTGATGCCCCTGACAAGCCTAAAGTGCCCCCAACAGACCCGTGATGCCCCCGACAGGCCCAAGGTGCCCCTGCGTGATGCCGTGATGCCTGCGAGGCCGGTGGTGCCCCTGCGAGGCCGGTGGGGCCTCTGACAGGCCCATGGTGCCCCTGCGAGGCCGGTGGTGTCCCTGCTAGACCGGTGGTGCCCCTGGCAGGCCTGTGATACCCCTGCTAGGCCGCTGGTGCCCCTGGGCCCTGACAGGACTATGGTGCCCCTGACAGGCCCAAGGTGCCCCTGCAAGGCCGGTGGTGCCCCTGTAAGGCCTATGGTACCCCTGCTAGGCCTCTGGTGCCCCTGACAGACCCATGGTGCCCCTGCGAGGCCGGTGGTGCCCCTGGCAGGTCTCTGGTGTCCCTGACAGACCTGGGGTGCCCCTGACAAGCCTGCGGGGCCCCTCACAGGCCCGTGGTGCCCTTGCTAGGCCTGTGGTGCCCCTGGCGGGCTGGTGGTGCCCGGTGCCCCTGCTAGGTCGGTGGTGCCCCTGACAGGCCTGTGGTGCCCCCGGGCACCAAGGGGGTCATGACTCATGTGGCCCCCCTTGGATCTGCCACTGATACGTTATGGCTTATGCAATATGCAATTGCAGGCACTTGGTATC